CCAACCGGGGGCAGGCTGGGTATGCCCTAGTTGCTGAGTGCGAAGGTACAAGAAACCACCACTGAATCGGATAATAATAACGGTGTTTAGAATAGTAACTAACATTTTTATAGAACACTTTACCAAAAATATATCAACTGATGCACCCGCCACTCCTGCGAGAGGAACAGTCTGATGAGAGGAGAATTATCATCATCCCCACCAGGAAACTGAATTCCGAAGGGGGGTCAACGACTCAGCAAATGAACCACTTCCGTGATTACAAATGTGTCTGTCGGCCTCCCTTGGGCCTCTCCATCACTAGGTGCTGAAGGCAGCCCTCAAACCCTGCTCTTTTCGTAATTTTTTTTTTTTACACTTAAGAAAGTATTAAATATTTATTATACACATTTTTGGAAAACACCAAAAAGGAGAAGGAAAAAACACATCACCAACAATCTCACCACCCAAAGGCAGCCGGGGCCATCCCGTTTTCGTGCCGTTCCTTCCAGTCAAAAGACAGCTCTGTGCAATGGACTTTGTTTTAGTTGGTTGTTTATGGTCATTTTCACTACCTCTTGCTCTTTTCACGGAACACGACAGCAGACGTGCCCCCCAGCTTTTGTTCCCTTCACATCGTGTTCCGCCACTTTGTGCCCACAGAACGACACGCTATGTTGGGATCCACGCTGGTTCTAGCCACTCCATTGCTGCCGGGCGTTGAAGATACAAACTTTCATTCAGAGCTTTTTTGAGTTTAATGAGACATTTCCCAGTCTAAGCTCCCCTCTTCCCATCCAAGTTGGGCGGTGAGGGGGGTGGGGGGGCGCGTGGAGAGAGAGAGAGAGAGGTGCTACCTCCTCACCTTGAAGGCAGAACAAATACTCGGTCGCCTTCAGTGTGGCTCCATTCTGTCCCAAAGGGGAGAGAAGCATCAGTATGTGTTTCCTTAAAGCTCCCCACCTCCTCTGTTTGATATCCCTGTTTGCTTAACATTGTGTGTCTCTCTTCCTAACACTCCTTGAGTATAGAGACCATAGCCTAGAGTGTTGACTCTCTCCTGCAGAGCGTCGATCAGCAGAGAGAGTCAGTACCCAACACTTTCAGTCACTGATTGACAGCATTTGAGTGAGGCCCTGAACACATGTGATAAAGGAAGAATCAGCCAAATGTGACTGCGATGATTGAAAATTTTAAGGGCTCTGAGAAAGAGGAGTTAATTTAACACAGTGGTCATTGGGGCCCCAGGAAAAACCGGCCTATTCGAGCAAGTTATTAAGTTGCTGGATCTCTGAGGCCCTGTAATTCAATTCTGACTAATTCCCAGTGGGATTTAGTTTCCTGTGGCAGTCCTCTGGCCAGCATATCAGCTGAGAACAAGGCCTTGGGGCCTTGCAGGCTGCACACACTGCAGACCAGATACACACCGATCTGTCTTGAACATGGCCTGCAGTTTGGAGCTGGCCAGAGAGAGATCACAGTGTGTGTGAGCTCTGAGGAGTAGGGGACACTGGGGCCAGAGAGGTAAATTTACCTGGTGGATATGCAGCTCTCCTTAGCAGCTTTCAGAGAGAAAGGGCTGACTCGGTAAAGCTGGATCTACTTCCTAAAATGTTTGTTTTCTAGCTGCTGTGATTAGCACTGGTTTTACCCTGGGGACCCCAGAGGAGGGAGCAGTGGCTGTGGGAGGAAGCCGATTACGGAATCTTTCTCTGGCTTTTCCTTCTGCTCTTCTCAGCTGTGTTGGATCTTGAAGGGCTGGGATGGCCAGCAGAGGTCACAGGCCTTGGAAAGGGTCACCATCTGCTGCACAAACTTGCCCCCTGCAACTACAAGTACTTAAAAGTCGAAACAAATGGGGAACGCTTAGGAAGTCAGGCGAGATCAAAGGTTCCCAAAGGAACTTTTCTGATAACCGTGACAGTAAGAGTCACTGGAGGGGAGGGGCTTTTCAACCTTCAATGTTCAAGCCCCGCCCCTGGAGATTCAGATGTGATAGGTCTGGCAAGGGAGACTAATAATTTGTATTTTAACAAGGAACATTGTGGGAGATAGGGAGTATCATCTGGGAGTTTTGAAAAACATGATAGAGAGCTCACCCAGCAGAGATGCATACAGAACAAGGGGTTAGAAAGAGAGGGGTTGAGAGGAAGAAGCTGCTTCAAGCTGGGGGGAAGGGTGCCAGTGATCGCAATACCGCGTAATTCTTAAGAGAGCTAGTAGCATGGTCTTTGGCATCAGGAAAACCGAGATTGGAAACCCAGTTTGTTCTGAGGCCTTAGAACATCACTTAATGTCCCAAAGCCTCAGTTTACTCATCCATAAAATAGGAATAATAATTTCTACCTAATAAGGTTGAAAAAGAATTACATGAAGTAACAAATGAGGAATGAAGAATTAAATGAGAAGAAAAGCGTTTCGCACACGCTTGGCACGTACTCAGCACTCGATAAAACAATAAGAAATAAGGCATTGTAGGTATTACTGCGATTATGACCAAGGCACACTAACGTGCTTGATGTCATTTGTAATCCTTTTATCCTCTTCTTTGACACAATTCGTTTTCCCAATTTCTCTCTCTCTCCCTATCTCCACCTCTCCCCACCCCCGCTTCCTTCCTCCCTCCTTTTTCCTCTTTTTCCCACTCTCCCCACCGTGATCCAGGGGAGAGTGGGACCAGCTGAAACCCATGTAGCCACAGGATCCAACAAAACCCACAAGCCAGTATCAAGGTCTCAGCTGTCACTTTGCCCTTTTTAGCAAGATTCGCAAAAGTCTGCGAGAATAATTGCCAATTACCTGATCCGTCCAGAAACTGACAATGTCAGAACTGGAAGTGCCCTCAGATTTTATCTAGCCTGGCCGCCCATTTGACACAGAGAGAAGATGGAGAGAAGAGGAAACCTACACAAAGTTATGCTAGTGAGTAATATTCAGGATATGACCACCATCGGAGTCCCCCGACCCCTGATTGCATCCAAGTTCTTTGCATCAAACCAGAGCTGGGTCTTAGGACATAGATTTCCTGACCCCTTATACTCTACTTTTTTGTCCCATCACCTTCAGTCTATAAAGATAATCAACATCAATCATTTGATAAAAGTGACCACGAGCATACAAGCCACAGCTTCGGGGCAGACCCCCATGTGACCTAATCCTATGAGGTAGATGAAGTATCTCTATTACACGAAAAAGGTTTAATGGACTTACTTAGGCTGACATGGCTTGTAACTGTCAAAAGCAGGATTTGAACCCAGGTTCAACTCTGAAGCCTCAACGCTTCCCACCTGGGACCGGGATACCTGCTTGGCCCCTGAATGACCTTGACCTGCCCTCGGATCATCCACATGTCCTCTCCTCCCTGATGCCTGCTCCTGCCCCGGTGCTTCCGTCAGCCCGGAATGCACACTGGCTAGTAATCGATGTTACACAACAGAAACATTTGTTGGCGCCAGTTGCAAACTGTTGCAGTCTATACAGATGAAGCCACTGCCGCCAACTCCATGAAAGTAAATGAGCCTTTCCAGTGGCTGCGGAAATAAATTTAAATGACAGCGCTGAAGGGCTGGAAACTGTGGCTGAGTGAGTGTGTCCCGCAGAAAATCGACAAGGACAGCTCTCAGTCCCAGCGCTTTTGTCCCCAGATGTAATTTCTCTCTATCTCGAGACTGTTCATCATCAGGATGTTCTGACCGCTCCAACCTCCTGCTTGAGAGTCATGATTCCAATGATGACAGTAAAAATGGTGACAGCAGTTGGCATGTACTAGGCACTCACTGTGGGTGAGGCACCCATACCTATGTATATGTGTGTACGCTTAACCTATGGAACGATGACAACCTTAGGAAATACGGGATTAAAGACCCATTTCACAGCTCAGGAGACTGAGGCTCGGAGAGGTAAAGTCATTTGCCAGCTTGCGATTGGCAGAAATGGGTCTCGCGTAAGCTAATGAAGCTGATTTCAGGCATGATTCTGCCAAACAGAACTGCTGGGGCCAGCCGTTCCTTAAAATTACTAGATGGTTTTATTTTCAAGACAAAAATAAATCATAAGGAGTTAGCAGGGTATACGAGGCCACCACGGCCTGGCCCCGAACTCCCTACCTCGCCAGCTTCCTTTGGAACCGCCTTCCACCTCCGCTCCCTCTCCCCCTTGCATTCCCCTTTTGTACCGACCTCAGCCAGGACATCACCATCTTCCCACATCTCTCTGTTCTGAACCTGCCTTTGTGATTCTGAACCCTCGAATCCTTCTGCGTCTCCCACAAAGTCACTTTTAGATTATTTAGCCAAAAAGCATGCTCCCTCCATCCCAGGACGATATAGCCATGAGTCAAGGCACTGAGCTTCGAGAAGAGGGTGTGGGCTGGTAGTAGCCCCCCTCACCCTCTTAGTGGGATGTCCTCGTGCTGTGGACAACCTGCCCGACTGTGCCTGGTGGTCCTGGCCTGCAGACTGGGCTAGGGACGGTCCCCTCTGCCCTGTTAGCACACAGAGCTTCTCCCTTTCTAAACATTTATCACATCGAATATGATTATCTCTACTTTCTTATTCCCTCTTCCGGTACGTGTACAACTAAATCGTGAGACTCTTGGGCCCTTGGTTTCTGTAGATCTAATGCTTAGCTCAGGCTTGGCATGATCAACTGTAAGTCTCCGTGGTCAGCAAAAGGAAGGAAGGGAGTAGAGGAAGGAGGAAAGGAGAGAGAGAGAAGGAAAAAGGGAAAAAGAAAAGGAGAGAAGGAAGGAAGAAAGGGAAGGAGAGAGAGGGTGGGTGGGAAGAAGGATAGAGGGGAGGAACGGAGAGAGGGAAGGAAGAGGTAAAGAGGAAGGAAGAGAGGGAGGGAGGGAAGGAAAGAAAAAAAAAAGAAAGGAGGAAAGGAAGAAAGGGCCCCTCCACACATGCAGAACCCTCAGCCCTGTCCACACTATTTCGCGAGGAAGCCAGCACCAAGCTCACCTTCCTCTCCAGGAAGAAGCTGCCTTCACTCAAGCAGATGAAGAAAGAAGGCAGGCAGGGAGGGAGGGAGGGAGGGAGGGAGGAGGCAGCCCCTTTATCTGTGGAGTGAGCTGTGCCAGTGTCCTGATAAGCCTTGGGTGCTACTTTAGAAGGGCCACCCTCAAAGTCTGACAGAAGGTGGAGGACCTAAGCCCTCCAGCTTCAAGCTAACTGGCATCTTTTCTACTCTTCCCAAGATGCGCCACCGGAGGGAGACGCCAACCCTTCAGGTACTTACCTTCTGCCCTCAGGAGCACTGAGGAGCACCAGTCTGAGCAAAGACAGCCTGGAAGAGAGAGTGACAACAGCCCCTCTGAGTCCCGTGCAGTCGGGGGAAGAGCTTCGCGAGCTGGAGCAGGAAGGGACAGTCCCTTCCGCACACCCAGAACCCTCCTCCCTGTCCACGCTGCTTCCGGAGGAAGCCAGCCCCCAGCTCGCCTTCCTCCCCAGGAAGAAGCTGCCTTCACTCAAGCAGGTGAACTCAGCCAGGAAACAGCTGAGGCCAAAGGCCACCTCCGCAGCAGCTCTCCCAAGGGCGGAGTCCCAGCCTGCATCCCCAGGCCTGGGTCTCCTCTCTTCTGCCACTGAGAAGCCTAGCCCACCGGGAGACCCCGACCCCATGGCCTCCGCAGGTGAAGAGATGCTTCGACTACCATCAGAGGAGCCCCTGTGGCTGAATCGGAAGGAAGGTGCAGTCCCCACCACGCCTGCTCCCCTGCAGATCTCCCCCTTCACCTCACAACCATACGTGGCCCACACACTCCCCGAGAGCCCGGACCCTGGGGAGCCTGCCATGTCTGATGAGACCCACGAGGCTCCTCCTGAGGACGCCAGTCCCATGAACTTGATGGACAAAGGCGAGAACGATCTGACCGGGTCAGCCTCCGAGGAGAGCCAGGAGACCACGACGTCCACCATCATTACCACCACGGTCATCACAACTGAGCAGGCGCCAGGTATGCAGCCCCCAACTCCTCCAGTCCTCCTTCCGCAGCGATGAGGCACCCAGGGTGCACAGGGCATGGGGGAAGGAGGGCCAGGGAGGCCCAGGCCCCACCATCTGTTACCAGCTATTAATCACTGGCTATGAGCTTAACCCTGTGGCTCAGAATTAATATTCTCATTTTAAAGATGAGGCAGCTGAGACTCTGGGATATCAAGAACCTGGCCAAGGCCATATAGCTAAAGAGCAGGATTCAAAACCTTTCCATTTTGAAACAATCCTTTAACCTACCTAGAAGGCCAGAGCCTTTTCAAAGCACGTTTACCATTACTGGACTTCTCTAGACTTGGTAAAATGCACTTCCGTGTTCTAGTCTTTCTTCTTCTATCTTCTTTTCCATCTTCGAACAGAGGAGAGAGACATCAACTGTCAATCATACGTGGATTTTGGACAAGTGCAATGTGGTCACTCATTGAAGTGTGTGAGCTCTGGGTTCGAATCCCGATTGCTGTGTGATCTTAGCCCAGCCACTGTCTCTCTGATGTTTGGTTTACTTATCTCTAAAATGGGGACAAAATATCAGTCCCTATGAGGGAGGATGCTTGGTGTCACCCCTGTCTACTGGTCAGGATGGTGCCTAACAGCATGTAGTAGGTGATCATTCCATGTTAAGTATTGCTTTAATTATCACGTTGATTCTGGACCTGAAGGAGAATTAATAGCAGTGGGAGGGGTGGGGACAGGAGAACACTGGTTTCCCCAGAGGCCCTGTTCCTCCCCACAGCCCACCTGAGACATTACCTCTGAGCTGTTCTCCATGTCCTAATTAAAGTGCTTCCCTCCAGCTCTCTGCAGTGTGAGCCTCTCTGATCCCGAAGGGTACATCGACTCCAGTGACTACCCACCGCTGCCCATCAACAGCTTCCTAGAGTGCACATACAATGTGACGGTCTACACTGGCTACGGGGTGGAGCTCCAGGTAACCTCAGGAAGGCACCCTGCTGTGCCTGCCTCTTCCAGCAGGAAGTCTGTGAAGGACTGACTGAGTCAGGCTCACTGTTATCATCCTGACTGGTTTGGTTCTCTCTTTGCCCCAACCAGGGCAATTTGAGCTGGGCTTTGACAAATGAATAGGAGTTCCCAACTCAGTACACATTTGAAGTAGCTTGGCACGCATGGAGGGAAGGGAACATGTTGATAAATTGTGAGATATTACACTTGGAAGGTATCACACACACACACACACACACACACACACACACACACACTCATTCACACACACACTGTTAACATGTAGTTAGTAAGGGCAGAAAGAAAAATTACTGCTTTAATAACACTGGGTTCATTTGATTCATAAACTTTTGCCTATAAACTATGAATTAAAAAAGCAGGATAGTCTACGGCCATGCCCCAAACAAGCCCGATCCCATCTGATCTCGGAAGCTAAGCAGGATCGGGCCTGGTTAGTACTTTGATGGAAGACCACCTAGGAAGACCAGGTGCTGTAGGCATAAAAAATAAGGGATTGTAAGCTGACAAGTTCCTTGCAATCTGTGAGGTCAACCAAGGGTTGCCTTGCCTAAAAAAAAATAAAAAAGAAAACTATATATATAACAATAATAATAATAAAAAGCAGGGTAGCATAGTATTCAAATATCTGGGTTTGAAGTCCCAGCATTACCAGTTAAAGCAGCGTGACTTTGGGCAAGGGACTTTGCCTCTCCAAGCCTCAGTTGCCCCATCAGTAAAATGGAGATGATAATGTTACCACTTTACAGAGTTTGGGAAAGATAGAAATACGACAACACGCAAAGAGCATTCAGCCAGAGCCTAGCAGAGAGAGAGAGAGAGAATGCTTGGTGCACATGACCGGTTACACTCACCCAAGTTCCAGGCCTTCTCCAGCTGACCACCCAGCATTAGAAGTCTTTTTAAAAAGGGACTGAGGACAGATGCCTGGCAGTGGTGACCCGTCCAGTTCACTGTTCGACAGAGGGATGAAACTGGAAAAGGAGATCAGAACCATGTGGTGGCAGACCCTTCCAGGCCAAGGCTGGCTGTCTGGTTTTGGGCCTTTTTCTAACGGGCAGTAAAGAGCCATCAGACGTTTCTGCGCTGAGTCAGTGGTATGGCATGAACTTTACTCTAGGAAGATTTTTCTGACTCGTACAAGAAAAATAAACTGTAAACTGCAGAACCTGTGGTCTTTGCAGCCCCCAGGGCTTAACACAGGATGTGGCCCATAGTTAAGTACTTTTTTAAAAAAAATGATCATGGAATTTAGAGAAGCTGGAGAAAAGTTGCGGTCCTTCTGATTCTGGCACTTAGTAAACTCTTTCCTCCGCACCACGAAGAGACCCGCTCTGTAACCAATACTGTCTTGACCCCTTTTTCAGGCACAGTAGAACCCCTTCATTTAGCATCTACTATGTACCAGTCCAGCTGTTGACACCAAAGGATATGGTGGCATAGGGCCTGCCCTAATGATGTTCACATAAAAGACATTAGGGTGCCATCTGAAAAGGTCTCTGATAGCTGTTTATAGGGGATGTGGTAGAATCGCAGTGGAGGGACAGACAAGCTCCTCGGCAGTCAGGGAAGGTCTCACAGAGGAGGGTAATTTTAGTGGGGCTTTGGCAAATGAATAGGAGTTCGTCAAAGAGAAAGGAGAGCAAGGTGTATGGCCTGAAAGAGGAAGGGCTTATAGGTGAAGCCTGCCCTGCTTAGGTGAGGGGCAGAAGGTCTGGGATTCCAGGTCCCACAGGAGAGGCATAAATACCCAAACTGGACACTGGGAACTGACTAAAGTCCCCACCACATGCCCATTCTGTTTGTTCGATGTCCTTGTGTACAACTTAAAATATCTCCCTTCTTTCTCGTCCAAGCCCAGAGAGTACCAAGAACAGGGTTCTTTGAGGAAGTTCTGGACTTAGAGCCACCATTTGGGAGGAAAAGAGACTAGGACCGAGAATGCCCCAGAAATGAGGCCCCCTACTCCCTCATTTACCAGTTCATACAGAAAGGGGGACAATGTATTCAGTCATTCTATAAGTATTTCTTGAGCACCTACTGTGTGCCAGGCACTATTTCAGGCACCGGGAATGCTGAGTGACAGGGAAAAGTCCCTACCTCTGTGCAGCTTACGTTCTGGTGGAAGGCCTCCTTCTGTCTCCCTGGCAACCGGGCTTCCATTGCCAGCTGATTGAACCTGCCCCCACCCACCAGCTCCAGGAGAACTTATCTCAGCTGCCAGCATCCAGAAGCCCCTCTCACAGGACTCAGCTCTGGGGGCTCCCAGATCTCTGCAGTGTCTCTGCCCCTCAACTTGCTTTCACTCTGTTCCCTTAGCCTTTGGGGAGAGGAGAGAGGTCTAGATGTTTCCAGGGCTGGGGCTTGGTGCCTGTCTGTGTCATTGACTAGGGCCTGGTCGAGGGATGCTGCGTGGGCAGTGTTGGGGGGCTGGTTGGGAGCTACACTGGCAGCCTCGCAACCTTTGAGGGCCCTAACTCAAACACAACTTGGAGCTTCTCTCTGTCTGCTGCTGACTGTCCCCAGGTAAAGAGTGTGAACCTGTCCGAGGGGGAGCTGCTCTCCATCCGCGGGGTGGACGGCCCCACCCTGACCGTCCTCGCCAACCAGACGCTTTTGGTAGAGGGGCAGGTAATCCGAAGCCCCACCAACACCATCTCTGTCTACTTCCGGACTTTCCAGGACGACGGCCTCGGGACCTTCCAGCTACACTACCAGGGTATGACCAGGCCGAGGCTGATGGCACGTAGCCATTTGCCTCAGTTTCCCTCTGGAGCCAGGAATTCTCAAACTTTTTCCCCCAGGAGTCCCTCTGGCAGCGTGGTAAAACCTATGGACCCCTTCTCAGAATATCTTTTTAAGAGTTGAAAATAAAATGCATACGGTTAAAAAGGAAACCAGTCATATGGAATTACAGTTGTCAAAATATTGTTTGGATCAATTATATCATAATCTACATGCTTCTTTATTAACATTTTAAATAACGACTTCTCCTAGCAGTTCTGATAATTACTGTAATTTCAAACTACGGAAGAACATAAGAAATATGTCGAGAAATCCATTATGACATGAAAATATTTGTGATTTCTCTTGATGACACAGTCACAGGTTCTACTAATATGTTATAGTTTGTTGCCTGCATTCATGATAGAAGGAAATTCCGCAGTTCAGTTAAATGTTCATGAAAACAAGCAGGCCGCTTTTCCCCGTTCAAACTCATGGCCCCTGTATGCGATACACGAATCCCATGAAAGTCCATGGATTTCTGGTAAATAGCCTCCCTCTCTCTTTGCTGTTGCTACGATGTTTCTTTCTTTCCCGTTTCATCTGTGTCCTTGCCTTTGCTTTCCGTTCACTTCTCTTCTCTTCCTTCCTTTCTTCTTCTCTTTACTTCCCTTTTCCTTGCTTCCTTTATTTTTTTCCTTCCCTCCTCTCTGTCTCTTCATTCCCACCCTCTCTCTTCCTTCCCTTTCTGTCTCCCTCATCACCACCCTGTTTTCCTACCTCCTGGACAGTTCCTGTAACGTCAGGTCGTTCCCCTAAACAAGGAGCTCCCCCAGGAAACTTGCCAAATATCTGAACGGAAAGTGGAATCAATAGCTACCCTCCGGGATATTGGAAACCATTCACATTTCTATCAAATTGACCAAACATCTGGAAAAACGATTCATTTTAAACTTTTCCTTGGATGTTTCTGAAACAGGCGGGTGACCAGGAATGGGAATGAGTGTTCATTTCATCACAGCTTTTCAATATTGAGACTCACCTCTGTTGTCTTCACGAATTAAAAATGGGAGGGGGGAATAGCTTGTTGAGCCATGAACTTGAATTTATTCCTCTCAATAACCACTGGAGATACAGATATTTTATGCTGCAGGAGAGATCAGACCATAGTCCATAATGGAGCTGAGGTGAGTTGAACATCCTCTTATGAAAATGGAAGAGCTTAACGGGATTGCGTACACGCCTCTACCACCCCAGTGTAGCGAGTGCTGACTGACTGCCAGACGTGGGGCTAAGGAGGCCCTTCCTCTCGTTCCCCATTTAATCCTTACCGCCACTCATGAGGGAAAGATGATCTCCACTGGAAAGATGAGGAGAGTGAAGTTCAGGACATTGTGTCACTTTCTCAAAGTCACACATTTTCTAAGTGATAGAGTAAGAACGTAAACTCACATTGGTCTCCCTGCAAGGCCCAACCCCTTACCTCCCAGGACGATTGTTTTCAAGTTTTCACATTATCCAGCATTTTCTGAAGAGCTGGTTATTCTCATTCTGGTCCATGAGTCTGCATTTTTAACAAACCTTCGAGATGCTTGTACAGGTGAGACCACCCAATCTGGTGATGCTGCCCCTTCTGTGCCGGAGGAAAAGGCCATTCTAGGTCTATGTGTATAGGGAGGTGCCAGTGAGATTTGGGACCTCATTTTTCACCCCAAACCTACTGTCTCTGTTTAGGCAGGTGGGGAGCTTAGAGCCTAGAAGAAAGTGCTCTTCTGGCAGTTTTCGCGTCAGATGATCAACCAGAACCATAAAAAATGAGCTGAGGCGCTCCAGAGTCCCGAGGGGCTCATCTTTTCTCCTCAGCACAAATTTTCTCCTAGGATGTGGGTCACATTCTTTATCTCCTTGCTCAGAGGGATGACTGTCTACTTTTGCATTTGTTCGCAGCCTTTATGCTGAGCTGCACCTTTCCCCGCCGGCCTGAGTATGGGGATGTCACAGTGATGGACCTGCACTCCGGTGGGGTGGCCCACTTCCACTGCCACCTGGGCTACGAGCTCCAGGGCGCCAAGACGCTGACGTGCATCAATGCCTCTAAGCCCCATTGGAGCAGCCAGGAGCCCATCTGCTCAGGTACACTCCAGCCTCTGCTGGACCAAGCGTGGATGGTCCACTAAGAGGAAGAGAGACCAATCCCCTTAACACTGACCTTAAGGATAGGATCTCAGCCTACAAGAAGGGACTGCTCCAAATACAGATGACTGCTGCCACTTATATTTCTATTATGTGATAAAATACTTATAATATAAAATTTACCACTAGCGACATGTAGTACATTCACAATATTGTGCAACCCTCACAACTGTGTAGTTCCAAAACAACTTCATTACCCTAAAAAGGGAGCCCTGCACTCATTAGCAGTCACTCCCCATTCCTTCCTCCCTCTCAACCCTTGGCAACCACCAGTATGCTTTCCGTCTCTATGAGTTTACCTATTTTGGACCTTTCATACCAGTGGAGTCATATAACGTGATCTTTTGTGACTGGCTTCTTTTACTGAGCATATTGTTTCTGAGATTCATCCATATTGTAGTGTGTATCAAAACTTCATTCCTTCTATGGCTGAATAGTATTCCATTGTACAGATAGACCGCATTTTATCTTTTCATTCATTAGTGAACATTTGAATCGTTTCCACTTTTTGGCTATTATGAATAATGCTGCTATGAACGCTCGTGTGCACGTTTTTGTGGGGACATATATTTTCAGTTCTCTTGGGTATATACTCAGAAGTGAAATTTCTGGGTCATTCGATAACTCTATGTTTAACTTTTTAAAGAACGTCAAACTATTTTCCACCGTGGCTGTGCCATTTTACTTTCCCACCAGCCGTGTTCAAGAGTACCAGTTTCTCTACATCTTCGCTAACACTTATTATTTTCCATGTTTTCTTGTTATTATGGCCATCCTAGCGGGTGTGAAGGTATCTCATTGTGGTTTTAATTTGCATTTTCCTGATGGCTAATATTATCGAGTATTTTCCACGTGCTTGTTGGCCATTAGTATATTTTCTAAAAGAAATGTCTATTCAAGTCTTTCGCCCATTTTTTTAATTTGGTTGTGTGTTATTGTTGAGTTATAAGAGTTCTTTATATATGTTGGCTACTTGACCTTTATCAGATATATGATTTGCAGATATATTCTCCCACTCTGTGAGTTGTCTTTTCACTTCTTGATATGTCCTTTGATGCAAAAAAAAAAAAAGTTTTTAATTTTGACAAAGTCTAATTTATCTATTTTTGTTGTTGTTACTTGTGCTTTTGGTATGACTGCTGCCATATTTTGAGCCTAGTCAGTACATACTGAGCACCATGCCAGGAATGCAGTAAATCCTCACAGCAATTCTACTTGGTGGAACCATTATCCCCATTTTACGAATGAGAAAACCGAGGCTCGTGGAGGTGAAGGCACTTACCCAAAGTCACTGGACAGAAATTGAACTGAGTCCGTACGTTTCTATCCCTTACTAAAACTTCACTACTTAAAATGTGGTCTGCAGACCAGCAAGGTTGTTAGAAATGCACAATCTTGGGTCTCATGTGAGAACAACTGAATCAAAATCCACATGTGTGATTCACGTGCCCATTATAGATTGAGAAGCAGTTAACTGAGTACCTACTATGTGCCAGCCCACGAGCCATGTACAAGGAGAATACCTGAGTACCTACTATGTGCCAGCCCACGAGCCATGAGAGTGGACTATACCACACTGTCCCTGCACCAGTGGTCAGAGCCTTGAACCATCCTCAGCTATCATGGCAGCAAAACCCTGTTAGATTCTCCAAAGTTCTAATGGTGACCAGGAGAATATAAGCCGCCCACATTAACTGAGTACCTACTATGTGCCAGCCCACGAGCCATGTACGAGGAGAATATTGGGAACAATAAACATAACTCCTGTCCTTCGGGCATTCATAATCAGTGGAATCCAAAAACAAATGAGAGCTGATGATCAATTGTGAGATTAAATTGTTGTAGTGTTGTTCCCCCAAGCCCCTTTAGAATTTTTCTTTCTTTCTTTTATTTACAAAGCAAAAAAATCCCAAATCGTAAGGCAGTTGGTCTCCATGCCTCTCTCGTGTTAATTTTTATCTATGTGTGAAATCAGGAAGGAATTAAGCCTCAATTTGTGCTAAGAAAGATGGATGGGGAGCCATGGCTGGCAAATTAAAACCAAAAAGAGCCATCAGTCGGCTTAATAAGGCAGGCAAGGGGAGCAGAGAGGCAACAAATGAGGGGCAGCTTGAGGAGGACAGATGGCCAGTGCCCCCATCATGGACAATGTCCTCCATGTCTTCAGCTCCTGAGCCATAAGGCAATAATGCTGGCTATGTTTTGAGCACCTACTCTGTGCCAGGAACTACATCAAGCCCTCCACTTGCATCATTTCATCTCTCACCACAGTCCTCTAAGGAAGGTGGAATTTACCATTTTACAGTGAACTTGAGGTTCAGAGAGCTTCGGTGACTTGTCCTAGATCCACAGCAGACATGTGGCACAGGCTAGAATTGAACCTCCAACTTAAGATCGGAAGGCAGCCGGAAGAGACCGACCCTCCGTCCTGTCCATGGTGCTGAAAAAAGTACAGGGTTTGTTGGCAATGTTTTGCAGTGATTCGTCAGCAAAATCCAGAGCCAAGAGAACCATCTACCTTTCTCTCCTATTGCAAGTCCTTATTAGTCGTGCAATCTCTCAGTAAACATGTGATGAGAACCAAATATCTCCTAAGAATAAGACTACCCCCTCATACTTGTGTAACTTCCCAATTCACATATCACTTTTTAATTTTTATTAGATTTTTATGATAAAAGTAGTATATGGTTCTGATAAAAATAAAAATTCAAGTCATACAAAAATGTAGAAAATAGGAGCAAATAATCTTATATTCATGGTCTCAATTGATCCGTACTTATATCTCACTGAAGTAGGTGTGGCAGACCATTTTCTAACTTTTCCCCCCACTTAAAATATAGTGAGCATTTTCCGATATTCTCAAGTATTCATTGAGAACATGGTTTTTTAAAAGTATAAATGGAATGTGTGTATTGTATTTCCTTCACCAAGCATCTGTGGGTGGACATTTATGTTGCTTCTCGTTTTTCACTCTTAGAAACATCCTAGCAATGAACATCCTCATTCACAAATTTTTGTGAAAATCTCTAAATCTTTTCTTAGGATGAATTCCCAGAAACTTAATTACTAGGTCAAAGTGTTTGAACATACTTTCTAGATTTTTCACCAAGTTGCCCTCCTGAAAGATTATAGCAATTTGCATTCTAATGTGCTACTTTTTATCTTGACCAATTAGGTGAATAAAAATAGAATATCGTTTAGATTTGCCTTCCTTTTACTCTTAGTGGCTGAATTTCTAGTGCTTACTAAGTACTAAAAGTATATTTTGTCTCTTGTAAACAGCCTATTTATGTCCTTCTTGATTATCTTTTTATAATTAAGAATTGGGGCACAGCCAGACCCAGGAACACACATGGTAATGATTATAATCATGGAGTGAGATCTCCTATCAAATGCAATGAACCCCACAAAGGAGGATGGGGCTATTCCATGGTCCTTCTTATCCTGTTTCCTCCAATGAAGGGGTAGGGGTGAGGATCAGGGGAAGATGAAACACTTACATTCTCTCTCTCTCTCTCTCTCTCTCTCTCTCTCTCTCTCTCCACCCCCCTCCCCCGCTCCTCTTATTGCCCACTCACTTTCTGGCTGCAGCCCCTTGCGGAGGGGCTGTGCACAATGCCACCATCGGTCGCGTCCTCTCCCCAAGTTACCCTGGAAACTCCAATGAGAGTCAGTTCTGTGTGTGGACAATTGAAGCTCCAGAGGGCCAGAAGCTACATCTGCACTTTGAGAGGCTGTTGTTGCATGAAAAAGACAGGTAAACTTCTGAGGGTCCCCAGCCAACCCCATTCCCTCCCAGAGTGGCTGGAGATTTGGAGTCTTGAAATGGCTGAAATTCTGGCTCATGGAAGTCGAGAAAGAAAGAGCCGGGGAGGATGGCAAAAATCTTAGATGCCATCAGCTTTGATCTCTTCCTTTTACAGGTAAAGAAACTAGGGCATACAGAAAAGAAGGGAGTTGCCTTAGGTCACACAGCAGGATGAGAGAAGAGGCAAGAAGGGAATCCAGATCTCGCACATTGCACTTCCTCGTTCTTTCTCGTGCACATCCCTTTTAACGCTTGAACAAAGAAAGAGTATTTATTTAGCACCTGCTCCATGCCCAGTCATGTACTAGGCTTTGTGGAGAAGAGGAGAAAAGTAGAAAACATTGGCTCCTGGCATGATAAGAAGTTGACGTGGGAAAAACTAGACTTATGAGCATGAAAGGACTATGGAGAATTGACAAGGCAATATCTAAGCGAGAGCATACCTGCAGACTCTAAGATTCTACCAGGAATCCAAAATCTTTTTTAAAAAGCTTTATATTCTATGGCTTTATGCTAGAATATTCTTGACTGTTCTTGAAAACTAGATACTTAGATAATTTAGGTACCTAGACTTGCTGTCTTAGGTTTTGTTCCCTTGGAAGCAGTGATGTGTTATGGATGTGAGGGAAATTAGTTTATTTGGGGGCTAGTCCTAGGAAATACAGGTAGATGTGTGGCAAAGTAAGCCAGGAAGAAAAAGGAGTCAATACAGTATGTGTTAATAAACAAGTGACTGTGGAGGTGACTGGGGTTCTAGCCACTGGAGGCCTCTGGGAAAATCTGTTAAGCATACCATAGAGTTGTCCTTTTGTAGGAGCAAGGGAGCTGAGGTGTTTATCTACCATCCCACAATCCATCATTGGATGAAGGATGCTCGTAGATACTCTAACCCCCAAACAGGCTTTCCACCCTTTGAGCTGGCTGAGCTGGCTCATGCTCATAGATTTGGTGCAGGAAGCTAGCAGAAAATAAATGACAGTGAGTGCTGAGGGCATGTGGATAGCACACAACAATATTTACCACACTTCCAGAATGCCGGGACCTCAGAATTATGGAATCTATCAGATTTTAGAAGTACAGTGTCCTGGTTTCTTTGAAGCTTCAAACCTAGACAACTAACCTCGTTAGGTATGAAAGCATTCTTGTAGAAAACACCAGACAACTGAATAACCCAACTCATGAGTCCACTTCCCTTCAAGTAGTCCCGAACAATCCCATATCAACAAGTCACTGCTTTAAAGTGGAGGGGCTCCGAAACATGGGTTTCTCAGTAGCATCAGAATGAACTTGGAAACTCTTTTAAAAAACATATTCCCAATCTTTCCTTCTGGAAACTGAGAAGCCAGACCTGGGTACCCTCGGTGAAGGCCACATTCTAAAATTTAGACGTTGGATCTGCCTCTTGTGAATAATGTTGGAGATAAACCAGATCTACATTTATACCAGACAATGAGAATGAACAGAGAGAAAAAATAGTTAACCAAAATGAATATTTTCTGAAAGGCATTTAAATCATGATAAATGAGCCAGGTACGCTGACACGGTAGTTTCATTAGTAGTTTCTATGGGGCCCTACAAAAGTCTATGAAAGGTATGAGTTGACAGCCACCGAGGCAAACCAGTGCTCAAGTGTGTCAGTAAGGAAAGAAGTTTGTAGTAGCTCATCAAGGTTAAAGGTCAACACACACACACACACACACACACACACACACACACACACACACAAATGCAGACACTGTGCTACGAAGAAGAGAAAGTAATTTTGTCTGCCCCATATACTTTATTGAAGAAAAAACAGCTAAAATACCATAATATATCAGTTACAAGAGCTTAGAGCTCGAAAAGAAATAAGACCTTGACCTAAACCTTGGAAAGAGATGGGATAAGGGAACCCAGAAATACAGTAAGAGTACTTACTATTCCAAGCTGGAAGAATGAGAGTGGGAGGGAACAAAGGTTTGGAGGGAAGAATGAACAAGTACGTTAGGGTGTGGGTGGGGAACGGCAATAGAAGTTCTCTGTAAAAGGAGGAAATGAAGCTGGGAGGTAAATTGAGGTCGTACATTGAAGGGCTTTGAATGGAAGAATTTTGAGTAGAGGAGATAAATGAAGAAAGATCTTAAGAAGATTTTCCCAAAATGAAGTCTTTCTAAACTACAGTCCCATAATATGCAGCATAAAAGGTGGGTCCTGTGGTCAAACAGGTATAAGCTATTCTTGTCTTGGAAGGTATTAATGCACATTCGCTAGCAAAGGCACTGACAAGTCCTACAGGAAAAGTGTTTCATTTTTACTTAACCCGGCTTTTTCCAAACCCATGTGACCGCAGACACCCATATGGGTTTGAGATAAAACTTATTACTATTTCAGACATTCTAGAGGTCACAGTTAAAAAACTGCAATTTTTGGAAGATTAATAGGCTAATGAGACTTTGAAATCTTGGGGTTTTCCTCCAAAGTGACTTTTTAGCCAAAGACTTCAGTTCTTTGAAAGAGGAATCCTAGGGCATTGCCCCCAAGATACAACAGAATCAGCAAAAATCAGAAGAATGTGAAGAGGTCCCTTCTCACTCTTGGAATGACCCCTGGCCTCTACTCCAGCCCCGTCCTGATCTCAGCCACAGTGGACACATGGCAAAATGAACAAACTGTAGCTTCAACATTTATGCACTTCAGTGACATTAGAAATTTATCTGGGCAACATATAAAGTCTTTTTATGGATCATAGTAAAAAAAAAACTCAAAAGATTTTAAATGTCTGTTTATGACTCCATAAAAAATATCTTATCGAATTTATATACTGTTTTTTCCCTACTTTTGCATAATTTCTTTAAAAATACCAAGACTAGGAAAGAGTCAAATATCAAATGGTTTTAATAACAGTAAAATTGAATACCAACATTTTGTCTAACACATTTTATTTTTCAGGGCACTTTATCCTGTCATAGTCTCAAAGCCCACCTGTAAGACAGATAGGGAAGACGGTATGATCTCTCCTTTCATAGTTGTGGAAACTGAGGCCCAAGATGTATTGAGATTTGTGTAAACTCAGTCAGTGGAGAATTGGAAACTGCAAATCAGGATTCCTGACTTCCCACATGATGCACTTAGAAAATGAGAATCAGAGACAAAAGCTATTAGAGGCCAAATGCTTAATAAATTTGACTTGCCTACCTATTCTACCCTGGACGCTTGGTACTTGATGGTCTCTAATTCCCACACTCTGATATAGGTGGGATTGTACCCAATTTTCACACTCTGATGTAGGTGGGATTGTATCCATTTTTCAGGTGATAAAGAGACTTGGTGAGGTGAAGTATCCTTGTCCAAAGTCACACAGCTCAGAAATTAGAGTTGAGACTGACTGTCTGACTATATATACCACTGTTTCATAAATGATGTTAGCCCATTAATTCCAACTTTTCAATTAGTAATAATAATATCAATTAATTCACCTAGTTTAATTACATCATACACATCACTTTCAAAAAACCAGAATCAGTTCATGAGTCGGAGACAAACATTCCAAAGAAATGAAACAGGTTCTATAAGGTAAAGCAACTTATCTGGGCAAATGAGGGGCAAAATCAGGATGCGAGTCTGGGAATGAGCCAGTGCTCACTGCACTCCCGTCCTACTGCTGTGTGTCAGTGACCCAAGAATAACTCTCAATGGCCCTCCTCTCCTTCCCTACTGCCAGGATGATGGTCTACAGTGGGCTGACCAACAAGTCCACTCTTCTCCACGACTCCCTTCCAACCGAGAGCGTCCCTTTCGAGGGCTTGCTGAGTGAGGGCAACAGCATTCGCATCGAGTTCACGTCCAACCAGGCACGGGCGGCCTCAGCCTTCAACATCCGGTTTGAGGGTGAGGGTCTGCCGGGGCGTCCCCCTCTCCTGGGGTGGTGGTGTGGGGGCAGGAGAAGCATGGCAAGGTTGGGGCTGGGTCCTGGGAGGTAGAAATCTGGCTGGCCAAGGATGAGAGAGGCCAGTGGCCAGACTGACCCTTGGACTTTTAAAGGCAGACTTAGCTTTACTAATAAGGATGCCTACCATTTACTAAGAGCTAACTATGCGCCCGGTGTCTTAAATGCAGTATGCATTTGATGCTCACCACACTGCAACATGAAAGCTGTTATTATCTTTTAGATGACTAAACTGAGATTAGGGAATTTGGGTGACTTGCCCAAGGCCACAAGTTCGAAAAAATGGAGGTAAGATTTCTGTCCAGCTTGAGCCTGGACCTGTAAATTCTGCTCTACGCAGTGAAAGCCACCTCTTCCTCCAAGAAGCGTTAGTAAGAGCCTCTCCTGCTCAGCCCCGGCCCCTTAAGAAAGGGTGCCGTTGGACATTGCATGTACCTCAGAGTTCTTTCAGTTCCGTCTTCCCTAAGTTGATCTTTCTCTTAGACAAACTTATGGTTTCAAGTGGCAGGACTCTTATTTATGAGACATGAAAAGGATCCATATGGGATGTTAAAGAGAATTGAAATGTGACAGTTCTGCAGGAAGGGGTGAGAAGAGGTTCTGAGTCCCATTTTAGATGTGAAAAAAATGAGACCCCCAAGAAGCCAAATGAATGGCCCAAAGGCCCTCAGCAGGTCAGTCGAAACCAGATCACAGGGTCCGGTACCCATTTTCCTTAGAGCTATCCTGAACATCAAAAGGGGACCCATCTTCTGAGACACAGCACTGCGAGTGACCCTTGACTCGTCTGAGCTACTGCCCGTCTTTTCTATCCCCACCCCAGCCTTTGAGAAAGGCCACTGCTACGAGCCCTATATTCAGAATGGGAACTTCACCACATCCGACCCAACCTATAACATCGGGACCATAGTGGAGTTCACCTGCGACCCCGGCCACTCCCTGGAACAGGGTCCAGCCATCATTGAGTGCATCAATGTACGGGACCCGTACTGGAATGATACCGAACCCCTGTGCAGAGGTGAGTGGCTCAGCTGCCTTCTTCTCGGGGTACCCAAGGAATTCTACCCCCTCAGATGAAAACGTCACGGCCCCAGTTTAGAGGCATGTCATCCTTTTTTATACTGAATTGAGCATTAGAACCCCTTCCAGAGCTCACGATCCTTTGGGTCATGTGTGCTGCTTGTCCTTGAGACAATTACACGATCAATACATTTTAAAACGTGCCCCTTCCTCCAGGCACAGGACCAATAGGGCACAGCTTAGTGAAAAGATTCCTGCCTAGATTTGAGTTACTCTGTACCTCCTTTGCTGTGCATTCTTGTTCAGGGCACCACTCACCCAACAACACAAGGCAGTCTCGAGCCTGATTAATAATAATAATGATGATAGTTGTTAACAGGAGTGCAAAAACTGTGTTACAGGCACTCTGCCAAGGGCTATGTGCACATTATCTGATTTTATCCTCACTACGCCCTTACTATTGAGCCCATTTATAGAGGAAAAAGAAGCTGGGAAATGACCTGCCTAAGGATGTAATGAAGGTAATTGACAAAGGCGGGAATGGAACTTAGGTCTCTCCGTTCTCAGAAACTTATACTCTGAGTCCCTGGACAGTGTCGACTGTGTAGAACCCTCACCTATATGGGCCCCCAGTGCCCTGCTCTCCCCATTTCCCCACGTTCAAGGCCACCAAGGCTCCCCAAGCCTGGATCGCTGTGGGGCATGGGAATAATGAAGAGAACACTTGCTCCTGGCAGCCGCCACCTGGATGGTGGTTGGCGTGAAATCACAGCCTCTCTGTGGTGAAAGATTGATCTCTGTATTAAATGTGCTGGTTTAACAGAGCGGAATTTATTGGTGCTTTGGCCTCTGCCATGTTGAAAACTTTCCAAAGCGGTAAACAGAGTGGAATTTAAAGGGCCAGGTGCCAGCCGCAGCCACATCTATACTTCCAGTTCAGAGCTGGGGTCTTTCACAGTTATGTTAACTAATAATTGCTGAGCACTTACCTTGTGCGAGGCACTGTGCTGCATTTGACACCCATGAGCTCAGTTAAGCTTCAGAATCACTCAAATGAAATCAGGAGGGGTGTCACTCCAGCTTTGCAGAGAAAGGAAACCGAGGCTTCAAGAAATTACATGCCTTGACACAGAGCCAGTTGGTGGCAGCGGCAAGACTAGAACCCAGGTCTACCTGACTCAGCCACTACTCACCCGGCAGGGAGCAGGGCTGTTGATTCAGCTTTGAGCTCTGTCCTTGGTCCTGAAAGTACTATAGCTCCACATTCATTGACCCTCAGCTGAAGGAGGCAGGTGGCCATCCTTAATTGAATCATCCTACACATGTATGGACTGCCTGAGGTGAAAGCATCTTCTACCGTGACTGTAAGACTTCATAGCCCACACTCTTAACTGTTATGCCATATTGTCTTCCTTATAAATAAAGCGTGTCTGTCTGTGTCTTTTACAGCCATGTGTGGTGGGGAGCTCTCTGCTGTGGCTGGGGTGGTGCTGTCCCCAAACTGGCCAGAGCCCTATGTGGAAGGTGAAGATTGTATCTGGAAGATCCACGTAGGGGAGGAGAAACGGATCTTCTTAGATATCCAATTGTGAGTGTTTCTCGGTGAACCCCCAACCCAGCCAGATTGGAGAAGAAACTGGTCATGCTTTATTTTTTCCTCCAATATTAAATAAGCATCTACTATGTGTCAGGAGCCGTGCAAAGAACTGGGAGCCCAACAGTGAAGGAGACAACATTATACACACAAAGAGAAAGTCTCTATGCTTAGGAAATTCTGTCTACTAAAAAAGCAGGCATTAAATGAGGAAATGCACCAATAATTGCATACTGTGTATTTGATAAGTGATGTAAGGAATGGTGCATGGTGCTATGGGATTCTACAATGGGGATACAATATAAAGAGGAAAGTCAAAGAAGTCTTTCCCGGGAATCTAAAAGATAAGTTGGAGTGAATGCACCCAAAAGGAACAGAATATGCAAAGGCCCTGTGAAAAGAGCAAGCACAGCAATTTTAAAGGATTGATGGGCCAGTGTGACAGAAGGAAGAGGGCAGTGTAATGTGTACTCTCCGTACTGCAGTAGTTTGTTTCCTATCTGTCTCTCTCAACTACCCCAGAAGGTCCTTGCAGTCAGGGCCTGCTCTGATTTAGCTCTATTCCAGGGTCTAACACAGAGCCTGACACATAGTAGGTGCTAAATGAAGAAATACTATCATGAATGGACTTACTGGCTGTGTGGCTGTTTTCTATACTCATTGGGGTTAGCTATTAGACGCCCCATCCAGAACTTTTCCCCACCAACTCCCCAGGGATCGGGGCACTTATAAAGTCTGGGGCAATGCCTACTCTGGACCAGATGCAAAAGTGATTGCTCTCAACATGTATATCTTAGGTAATTCTCACACAAAAAGACCCTGCCTGGTAAAGTAATTATCCCATCCTCTAGATTAGGAACACCCAGCTAGCAAGTAGCAGAGGTGAAATTTGAATCCAGGCTGCGTGACTGCTCATTCATGCTCTTTCCACTGTCTCACATGAGAAAGAGTTGAGAAGGGAACAAGGATGGCTGCTGGTGTCTGGAGAAGCAGAAGAAAGGCTTTCCTGGCAGACTCAGACACGGCGACTGGCTGGGGAGTAGAGGGGATGCCAAGTGCAGAGGAGCCTTTCTGGATGTGGCAATGATCTCTGGGGTTCAGTTCTCCCCTCAAGCCCCTCAATAGGCTGGGAAGCAGAACTCAGTGGCTGTCTGGCTCTACAGAGGAAACTTTCAAGAGAAGAGGGAAATTATTTGTGAAATTTTGAGTGACTGTCTTTTGAGGCTGTCCCTTAGAGACAGTGGAATGTCCTTAGAGGTTGTCCCAGGACCTCCTATTCCAGTTGAGCAAAAAGATTTACAGAACCTAAACAGTTGCCTCTTGTGAACTTGGGGCCAGGCCAGCCTGGGTCAGAATTCCATCTCCTCTACCATGCGACTTTGGGTCTCTCTCTGGGCCCTGTTTTTTCTCATCTGTAGTAAGGGCCTTGGGACATTAGTGTTTCTGTGGCTACTGGGGGCAAGTTTCAAGCATCCCTTGCCCATCGCCTCACTCACTCTTTTGCCCCCCTTTCTCCCATTCTCATCTCTCTGACTTTTAGAATCTGTAATAAAGTGTCTATTTATTCAAGACATAATTTTTGAGTGTCTACTATAAGCCAAGTATAGCTTTAGGCACTGGAAAGGCTCTGATAGTTGTCCCTTCTGCAGTAAAGTTTATATTGGAAGAGAGTGGATTGAATGGTCTCTATTAACTCTGAAAAAAAATAGCTGTGCACCTACTGCGTGCAAACTCTAGGCTTGGTACTGGAGGTGCAGTTGTGAGAAAAGTGGAACAGTTTTTCACTGTCTAGTGGGTGAGGCAGAAAGAAATTATATGCAGTGTAATAAGGGCAATGATATGAGGAGGACGGGCAGCTGAGGGACCCTGAGTGAAATCAAGGAGGGCTTCCAAGAGGAAGTGACTACTAATCTGGAATGAAAGAGAAGGTAGGTAAGTGATGAGGAAAAAGGAAGTGTCCTAGTCAGTGAGAATAGAATGTGCAAACCCTGGAAATGAGAGAGAAGGTGGACCACTTAGTTACTTAAAGGAACTTCAATGTGGCTGGAGCATGGAGGTTGGGTAGGGGTTACAGAGGCAGAGAGTCCAAGGGAGGCCCTAAGGTCTCCTTAGCCGAAGCTTCAGAGAATTTCATTCTAAAGCCGATTTCTCTAGGAAAACCTCTGTGGCTCCCCAGTGCTATCATGATTAAGATAAATTTATGGTCCTGGTTTAAGAGCTCCCTCCCAGAAGTTACTGGGCAAATCATCTCAGTCTTCAGCCAGGAGAAGGTGAAATCAGCTCCCAATTCCCTGACTTCTCTTGCAAAGGTCCCCTCCAGCTCCACTCCACAAGACAGTGTCTGCGGTCCCCTCCCTTCTGCTGGGTTCAGCCATCCTGTCCTCACAGTGCACCTCCCAGAAAGATGGTCTGGCTTCACCCAGATTGGCCTATGTCTCCCCTTGGTGTCAGAGGCCTGGATAAGGAAACGAGAAAATGGGAAACCTGCTTTCATCCCCTCCAGGCATCAAATATTCAATTAACCTTCAGCTTGACACCAAATGGGCTTTTATTTTCACAGCAAAGCCCTCAGTGAGGCAGCGGATGCAGGAACATGAAGCAGTTAAAGCGGAAACCCTTTCCCAAAGCCAGGCACCACTGGCATTAGCACCAGGAAGGGAGCAGACTTTCTCTCTTACGGTCATCTTGGCACCCCTAGATGTGAGCGTTGACTAAAAGAGAGGACCCTTAGCTTCCTTCTTCCATGCCCTGACAATGATTCCTGAGCAACCCTGGACCCACCATCTAGCCTCTCTGGGCTTCACATTCTTTCTCTGCAAAGTAATGTGTTGCCTCAAGACAACAGGATGCAAACTCAGACTTTTACAGGGCCAGGCTAGCAATGTCAAATGGGGATTTGGAGCTGGTATTGTCCATTCTACCAGCTGCACAGGCAAAACAAAACTTGGAGATATTCTAGACCAGTGGAAAGCTGGTAAATGTTCAATCACTGGCTTTCTTGGCAAGTAGGTGAGTGGGGAGCAACACCCTGATTTGTAGCCTTTGCCAATTTCCATTGTTTAAATATGCCCATGATGGAATATGCCAACAGGCTCGCCAAATGCCTGGATGATTAATATCGGCTCATATGACCCAGCACACTCACTATGAACTGCATTCTTCTCTTTCTTTCATGCCCCGTACCCAAGCTTTTTATACATCCTGGCGGTTCTACTCAAGAGTCAAAATATGCCCAAAGTCCAAGCACCTCTGACACCTCCACTGCCCCTGCCACTGTCCAAGCCACCACCATCTCATCTCAGCATTGTCACAGCAGCCCTCTCACTTTTGTCCCCTTTGAGGCTATTTTTAACCCAGCACCCTGAGTCATCCCATGACAACCTAAAGCAGATCACGTCATGCTCTGCTCAAAACCTGACAGTAGCTCCATATACTATCCATGGTCAAAGCCAAAGCTCTTACCAAGGGCCTTCTGTGATCCAGCCGTGGTTCCTTTTCCCACTTCATTTCTTCCCGCTCTCCTCCTCGCTTTCTCCATTTGGCCACAATGGCTTCCTTGCTGTCCCACAAGCGTACCTCAGGGCCTTTGCACTGGCTCTTTTTGCTCTGCACTGATATCTGCATAGCTCTGCTCTCACGGACTCCTGCAGGTCTCTGCCCACAGACCACCACCTCTGAGAGGCTCCCCAGCTCCCCTTACTTAAATTAGCATCCCTGTCTCTCTCGATACTCTTACCTGGCTTCACTTTCCTCACTCAGCATACGGCACGTGGTCATATTTGTTGAAGCATTTCCACCTGCACCTCCTCCACTTACGATGTCCACAAACACCTCCATGAGAACAGAGGGTGTTTTTTGTTTGTTCGTTTGTTTGATTCGCTGCTGTAACCCCTAGATGTAGATGAGTGCCTGGCCCTTAGTAGGTGCTCAACAAATAAGAGTCAGTGAAATAAAGGCAACTCATCATGGTCACATGGCCATGAAATTTCAAAACCAGAATGTGAATTCAAATTCCCATCCAGCTGGCTATGATGCACAAGGAGGGGAAAAAAAGTCAAAAAAAAAAAATACGGGAAAAGCCTCTGGGGATATGGCCTCCATTGATCAATAAACACACCTGAATTATATCACAAGCAACCTGGTTAAGAAATAATATTTTGGCTAAAAATTATCAAGCAAATTAACAGTAGTGAGAAGACCCCTAAAAGAAAGTTTTATATAGTATCAAAGGGTTTGCCATCACAGACTTAGAATTAGACTCTAGAGTGGGAGGACTTCAGAGGTCCCCCAACACAATGATGCTCAAATCCACTGGTAGAGTTTGGGGACTGAGTGGGATAGGCTTTGGGGAGATTATCTTCTGGATAATCTGGACACCAGATGCTAAGCCAAAGGTGAAGATGATGGTGGAATCACAGACAGGCTTCAAGATGGGGCCAGTGAGGAGGACATTATCTCCCCAAGGCAGCTTTCCCTCCCTCCATGAGCCACATAGCCAGCATCATCCCAGGGCCTTAGGATTTGAAGGGACATCAAAATAGATTCAGTCCAGTTTCAGTCACCATGGACATGTTGTGAAGACTGTGATTTTTGTCATCGACCAAGTTCAGTTTGCTTCCACACACGCTGATCGAGAGCCCACAGTGAACAGGGCACTGTGGCTGGGCTCTGGCCACAAACAAGACAGATGCAGGGAGCTCGTGTCATAAGCTGACATGGCACAAGGCAAGAGGAGATACAGAGGCTCTAAGAGCCTCGGATGAGGAAGGTGAAAAAGCTTTTCTGAGAAAGCAGTATCTAAGTCAGTGGTTCTCAAATGGGACAGTTTTGCCCCCAGGGGACACTCAGCATTTCTGGTCATCACATTTGGTAGAGAGGGCGTGCTACTGGGATCTAATGGGGAGATTCAGGGATGCTGCTAAACATTCTGCAATGCACAGGACAGCCCCCCACCACAAAGAATTAGCTGATCCTAAAATGTCAATACTGCCAAA